AATTGTCTACAAACAATGTTTGTACACATTTTTCCAAAAATGCATTATTATATGAGAACAAATTTAACATAACTTTTTTCATTTATTCGGATAAACTGGTTTTCTACGGTTATTTAAATATATTTGATAAACGAGTAGAACGTGTTTAATATATTTTTTATAAATAAAAATTAATAAATCGTCTTTTAATTAATCAAAGACAATAAGGTTGACCAGGGTCTATTTTTTTAATAATAGACTTAATATATTTAATAGACACGCATTAGGGAAGTAGGGGGCTGGTCTCATCATCAGCGACGGATCTGCTACTGCTGGCCCTCTGGAATCGCCTACGAGCCGAGAGAGAAGACTTCCTCGGTCGCAACTGACGCAAGTTTCTGACAGGTCACTTCTTCTTGAGACCGCTATAGGCCAAGGAACACCTGTCCATGCACTTTGTGCATGCCACTTGCTATGACGTTGACGCGGTCGCATCGCGACTCGGTGGTGGCCGAGTACTAATCACACCCGCGCCCGCTTTCTCTACTCGTCCGACAGGCCGCGCTCGCCGCCCAACCGGACACTTCCATTGTAGATGGATACACGGACATTTTTATGAATATACCTTGTTCTCAACCTTTTGTGTAAATAATAAAGATCAACCGTGATACTTAAACCCGGCGTATATTTTATTTTCACGACAATTACCCTTTTTGTCTATCACGATTTCAACGTTTGGCGTAGTCGGTATTTTCAGGACCCAAGGACTTGAGGTAAGTGCAAATTTAAACAATATTTTTTTTATTTTTTATTTTTTGCACCCCCTTAATTCTAACGAAGTTAGCTTAGCTGGACCTTGAGGTTAGTCTAGGCTCCCACCGTAAGAGAGTTTTTCCTCAAAAAAATCACAAATTTGGGGTATTTTAACGCCTAAAAGCGAAAAATTAATAGGGTTTCTGTATAGAGTTGTACCCGAGCGTGCTGCGGAAGAAGATATATAACCAAATTAATTAATATTGGGTTTTTGTTGGATATTGAGGTGTGTGTGTACGTGGATCAAGACAAAATAAGAATTAAACACAAGTTGTATGGTAATAATAAAACAGTAATATTTCACTAATACTAAATACAATATAAAGTAATAATAAAGACTTGTTATACTATGTGAAAAAGTAAGTAAGTGAATAAGATATCTCCCGATCTCCCTTTTATATAAGACCAAAAGAATATTCTAGAACAAAAACTGTATACAAAGCAATAATACTATTGACGTCAATTAACACGGAATTACTTTAAACACCTTTGATTAGTTAATATGAAATCACGCCATAATATTTTGCTTAATAAGGAAACAAGTTTATCTAGAGCAATATTAATGAGAATTTACATTCTAGGAAGAATATAATATAAATTATTTATTGACTATTTCAACATCCTCCCTCAATGAATAATTTCTATAGGTCCAACTTCTCCTTCAACTGACTGACTCCCATTGCTCCTCATTTACTCCCATAGACAACTGTTTAGTACTATCAAAATATAACCCATAATTATATGTTCGTTTTAAATAGCGCAAAATACGTTTCGCCATGTTCCAATGGACTTTTTTTGGCTCTGATAAAAAACGACTAACATAGCTAACGGCATATGCTATATCTGGTCACGTTACTGTTGATAAAAACAATAAACATCCGACCGCTTGTCGAAATGGAATTTGATCATCCGTTTGTTTCAATTCATTATCTAGGCCAATGGTATTTTGATTTATCTATAGGAATAGATAACTCCTTTGCGTCTACCATATTAAACTTTTTAATTACATTTAAAACATAATTCGATCGATGCACAAATAATGGACCATTAGGTAATTGATTTATTTGCATGTCAAGGAAGTGTTCAAAATTACTCACTTTTAACTCTGTTATTCCAAATAGATATTAAATAACGGCTCTACTGTTAATTTTGTTCTAAAACAACCGATATTGAATCTAGAAAATACATAAAACTCATTAGCTATTCTCGTTCCACGTCTCGTTTATGACTGCGAAACACTAGACTCGACTTTCGTTATAACTACCATAATTGTATCCGTCATGTGCATTACTGTCGTCATTATAGTGGACAAATAATTGTACGGTGATAACGGCAGTCGGCGAGGTCTCCATGATTCCACTGACGATATCCAAAACGTCTTGGTTTAATGACACTTAAGAAGTCGGACTATGGATTATAGTGGGCTTGAACCACCAACCTTTCGGTTAACAGCCGAACGCGCTAGCCAGTTGCGCCACGGAGGCTGTTGATTATTAAGTAAATTGATACAATATTATGCACGTACATCCATCATAATAATATCATCATGTTTAATAAATTATAATAAATACCACATTATGCTTACCTAATGCAAAATTGCCATTCGTCGTTTGCGTGCAATAACAGTACCGAACTGCATAACACTATAATACTACACTGTTCGTATTATGAAGATATCATAACGATTTATGAGTTCTAGCTTCGATGCAATAGCGTTAAAGTTAAACAACACTTAACGACTTTGTGTTTTCATTAAGTATTATTAATTAAAAACAACAAAGTGGGTACATATGTATTATAACTTTCCGCATAACTGTCAAACAAGTTCTAAATTAGTTTGACGTAATTATTCTAAAACTTGAACATCAGAATCGGAAAATCGAGATTCTCGAAAAAATACATCTTAATAACTTGTACTCAATTTGAATTTTAAAAATTAATATTAATATTCCAGAACTAAGTGTCCAACTAGAAAATTATATGAAAAAGTAATTGTTTTTTTTTTAAATTAGTCTTCTTTAAGATGTTATGTTTAGTTTTGTTTAACGAAAACTTTTGAACATTGTCAGCGACCATAATTGCAGTTCTTTAAGCAACGTCATTTGATTAAACAACACATTATTATTTGTCAGTATAGGGCCAACAAAATAATTGTTATGTAATTAATACTTGGTTAAATTTTAATAAATATGATGATTTTAAATAAATACTTAATTATGTCAATGGGTTAACCTATATTTTCTGCATAGGCTAAACTGACACAAATTTTTCAAAATATTATTACTATGGTTTCGGTAACCATGTATTAAAAAAATATATTATAATATTATTCTCTATAAAATTTTAACTTTACTTATGGTTTTTTTTTTTTTTTTAATGCTTCCTTCCATGAACTATATACGTTATTAAAACATAATGTTAATAAGTATTAATAAATTTATGTAAAACAATTGGAGAGGAATTACATTTGGTACAAGCCGTAAAAAGGTTTGAATGAGATAAAAAAGAATACAAGTTAAAAAGGTTTTAACTCAAGATAGAATATTTATTTCAATGCAGTTTAGAGGTAGTCCAAGTAATTATTAGTAATTAGACATCCAGAATGTCTACAATTTAAAAGGTCTTAATTGAACGATCATAATAAAATAACCGTATAGAAATTTAAAAAAAAGTTGTACAACTTTTTGTTTTGATAATACATATTGATATATTATTTTCACAAATTTAATTGAAAAATCATAATATTTTTAAAAGCATAAAATAAGTACAACACGACAATAACAAGACGTACTATACTTATGTATATCTTTTTATACTACCAAGGCACGCTCGGGTAAAATAAATACAGCTATACTTTTTAGGTCTATACAAACGAAACTGACATTGTAAACGTCAAGAATGAGACACAATTAACTATAATAGAAAAAAAAATATTAAAAATAACAATAAGTCCAAAGTGTATAACAACAGATCTAAATTTAAGCTATAATAAATAATTATATATTAATTTTCAGTTTATGTATAATAATCATAATTATAACAAGTTAGGACAGACAATTTTTATGTTTTTTAGAATTTGAACAGATCTGACGCATCAAAAAACTAATCAAAAATTTTCCCCATTTGCTCTACAACGTTTTTGGCAATCCTCGTCCATAATAATAAAAATAATTATTTATTACTATAAGTTGTATACACCTTTTAAAAAAAAAAAAAAAATAATAATACTAGTAATAATAATAATAATACCGATTTATACAAATAATGATTGCGAGATACGACAGATTTTTTAGTAACATAAGCAAGTAGGTATACCACATAGCTGTTAACAATAAAATGTTTTTTTTTGGTTTTAGGCACAAACCATTGGTATAAGTTTTACCCTGCTTAAAAAAAAAAACAAATGTACATATAAATATTTATATATTGTAAGTTTTGATTTTTATGTGTACACCGTATTGCTTGTTTAAGAAATAAATTTGTATTATGCATCCGATTGGTTTAAATAAGATTCGAAACAAGAACAACTTTCAAAATAATTTTCAATATAAAATTGAACATTAACATATATTTTTGTTGTAGGCAATATCAAGTCAAAAAATAAGCGTATACGAGTCTTCAAACAATATTGGTAAGTTTTAAAATTGTTTTTATACGTAAATAATAAAAATAATTAAGACTCCCAATAGTAACGGAGTAAATAATCAAATTAAGTTATTAGTACTGACGACAACCGTGTAATTATTACCTGATCGAGCGAGTACATAAGAAATCACAAAAAAAAAGAGTTAAAACAACTTAAGTATACATATATTGTAATATGGTTAACGTTGTATTAGTATATTTTAATATATAATTTATAGAGTATTAATAGTAAGGCAGATTATTTTTTGATGCCTAGAAAAAAAATTAAACATTTGTTTGAGTTTACGACGCAATGCCAATTTAAAACACCGCCGACTAAAATTTACAAACATAACCGTTTACATTGTCAATAACAATTAACCACAATATAATACCTGTTTCACGTATCTATTTAACAACAATAAAATAATTATGTTTTAAAAAAATAATCCCTAATTACGTGTTTGTAAAATTATCACTTAACGTTTATTCATAGTAACACTTTAATTACGTGTCGGAACTAATATATAACATAAACATTGACACAGTTTACGTAGTATATTATTATTATAACTAATATATATATATATATATATATACCTGGAAAATAACAACGATATTAGTAAGTAAATTTAGAAACAATTAAATTGCTTAATTATATCAAAAAGACACGTTTTTTCAATAAAATATTATCAATCAAATCAAAAACGGTTGGGTAACATGAAAATAATTTATGCGACATCACAGTGGAAAATATCTTACTTAATAATAGATTTTCAATCAAACGTCAATAAGTACGAACAAAGTATGAAAAACAATAACAATAATACCGAGACGGTATCCTAACAGGTTTTTTTTGTTTAAACGTCCCTTAAAAATAATTTATTAACAATTATATAGTGCACAAAAAATACACCAATACTATTAAGTAAAATACATCTAAACATAGTGCGATTGAAATTAAATTTTACAACATCTTGTGCACAAGTGAAAATTGAATTATGTATTTTAGAATATTATTAAATACAACTTTAGGTAAAAATATAATTTCACAGATTAGATTTCCGTACATTTTTTTTTTCACGCAACATTAAATTGCGAGCGACAAAAAGTTTAACGAATCGACCAAGACTATTAGGGGTACTAAATAATTATTATTTGGTTAATAAATCGATAAGAAATATCCATCGAGGTCGATTCTCAATGCTTGAAAAATAAAAGCGACTAAATCTTCCAAAGAGGTCGCATTGACAATATATATGTATTTTTTTTAACACAACCACATCACAAAATATATTGTAATTAGGTCACTTAATTTTATTTAGAAAAAAAGACACTGGAAAACCCTTGAAATCATGTAGGCATGTATTGAACCAGTTTATAAAAATCCTACGATTGCTTCAAGTTACAAAAAAAAAAAAAAATAAGTAACACTAATATAAGAAGAAAAAAATTGCAATTTAACTAATTTCACACCAAATGGGAAGATTTTAATTACGATTAAAAGTCCATCGCTTGGTACGATATTAGTGTAAGACAATAAATAATTGAAGTGGTCACTAATTTATGCAGACTTTCCTCTTATTCATACATTCCAACTTTCCTGGCTGCGTTTCACAACTTTAAAAATTCGTCAGAGTTATATTACAACGACAACAATTGAATACAATTATCGGTAAATAATAAAAATAAATGGGTTCGTTATCCCGACAGTAATAGTGTCGGCCCTTTTAAACACAGATTTAATACTTATAAAATAATTACGTGCATAATGTCAGATCTATAAACTAACATTTTTTTTTTTTTTAATGAATAAATTTAAACAAGTTGAAAAAAAATCACATAACAGCAAAAAAGCAATTTAACAATAAACAGTCTTCTTACTAAAATAGGTTAATTATTTTTTTTTTTTGCGAACAATTTACAACTAACCTATTTGAAATGTTGGAATGTTTAGTATCAATTTTGTCAAAACAAAATGAGCAATATTTATTAATATTTGAGCAAAGTTTTACTCAATACTCGAAACATTTATAATTTAGTCAGAGAAAACAAGAGCTAATCAAGTTTCTAATGCTCAATGGTTGTGTGCAAATTCTTTTGAAACATTTTGATAGTGCTTAAAGTAAGTACCATGTAAGCAACATGACTTGTTTGTCATTGGTAACAATGATAGTACAATAAGTAAAATAATATCGTACGAATCAATCTAAAAACTAACCTTAGTAGTTATAATAATATTTGTATACAACATGATTGTTTACTGTAAATTTGCATAGAGACAAATTTTATGGGCACAACCAGTTTTTTTTTCACACGATTTTTAAATAAACCATATAAACGTCCGAAAACATTTTGTCGACTGCACTTGTCGAAATTTTCTCAGCCTGGTAGTCGGGATTCGGCATAAAAGTCTGGTTCGTCTTCATCGTCAACCTTATCGACCGGCTCGTTGCTGTCCAACTGTAATAAAAAATCACAATATTATGTGCTGTGGTCGTACAGCGATAAATGATCAAATAAATAAATATTTACCGCTCGTAATTCTTTTGCCGTGAACAATTTGTCACACAACTGAGATCGGACGGGAATCATCATGATCAAGAAAAACGGAAATAACAAAGAAAACGACGACGATTTGACAGCCCACAAAATACACAAGCAAACTATTTGAATCGCCGTGAACAAATGCATTTTATACGTTGGCACCTAAAAAAAATAATAAAAATATTAATATTAATAACCTTAGAGATTTATTTTTACCCGAAAAACGGTGATTAACAGCTGTCAACAAATTGGCACCTACTTGTCGAACGTAGGCAGCTTCCGAATGATGTTTGACCGGCATAAATATTAGCTTTAAACGTTCGAAAAACTGAATACCGTCAATGGACGATATGCCCATGTACAAGAAGACACCGAAAAGCACAGCCATCGGTATTAATCGCAGTAGAGGCGCCATTATAACCGAACCACCGACCATTATGGACACCACCAAAGAACTGACTCGTTGTTCTGCAACGACAACAGAAACACAGTGTAATTAAATAAGCAACAGAACAATGGAGACTGTACTAGTGTAAAGTGAATCGACCACAAACCTTTGACTTCGATTATATGTGGTTTCTGTCCGGGAGCATGGGTTCGGCTCATAACCGTCACAGAAGAAACGTGAGCTACGGATCTTACTGTCGCTGCACTCATCCAGGGCGCTCCGATGAAGCCGCACAGCAAGTTAATAAAATTTACCAGCACTATGTCCAAATGGAAGCCGCTGCCTTTTTGTAGTTTACGTTCTTTCTTGTTAATGATCAACCTGTATGGACCATTCGAAATTCAGTAAATACAGTTTATTAAAAACACAATAAGTGTATTGGCGTTTTAGGTCTAAAGGAGTTATTATTATGTTTATCGTTTCCGAAAGCTGCTAAGCGCAACAGGTACACACAGCATTTTAGAGTGTTAACAACGGTACTAACTCGCTGATATGGGTTTCCATGTAGACGAGAATGTAAACCAACACTGCTGGTACGGCGGCAATAAAAGGCACCCAAGGGTCCATGTTTCCGTGAAGTCCATTAGGGGGTATGATCCAACCTCGGATAGATGGATCAGACGGCGTAAGACCTTCGGGCACTTTGAGTTTCTCCGTGTACGTTGCCGGATTGAAGTAATCTGCTGCTACCATTGATACGATGGCGATGGGCACACCGAAATCGCCCAACGCTCTGCGGATCTGTAAAAACATCAACATATCTATTACACCACATTGGTTTTTTTAATTACAATTTATACATTTTCGACTACAAGCATGTAGTAATTACTGTGAATTTTACTGTTAACAACTGTATACAATTTTAAAGCGATAATAAATTAGGACAATTTTTCATTTTGTTTTCATCAGAAACTTACGTTTCTGCCGAGGAATTTGCTGTTTCTGAAATGTCGGAGATAATAGGCAATGAAGAAAGTGCCGAGAGCCAATATGGTGCACAACAGAGCCGTGTTGGGTTGATTGATTGGCAAAGATCGTTCCACTTTTCGAAACGCTTGCGTATCGCTATGAGCAAAACATATTTTCAATGTGTTTGTTAAGCCTTATAATGTCAAAGTTACTTACTTGGTAGCCACTGTGTCGTTGAAAGTAGAGTTCCCATAAAACATGACGTTTTCAAACCGCGATATGTTGTCTTCGATACAATACTCATTCAGAGGTAACAACGGATGTTTGGTAAACACCTAAAACGATATGATAGATTAGCTATTATAAATACAATATATAGGTTTTTTTTTTTAAGTCCTAATGAACCCTGACGATATGCTCACTTTCAAACACTTTGACAGACTCTCCCAAATATAGATCAACGATATGAGCGAAGAGAATATTTCTTCAGTGAACCGAGTGAACACCTTTACCAAGACACTGCCTTCAACGCAGCTCACCAGGAGAGCAATCACCGTCAACCAAACGCCAATGTATACCCTCATAGCCAAAAAATCTATTTCGTTGGCTCGACAAAACTGAATACAAGCAAAACCACCATTATAGCATCATAATTATTATTTAAGTTGAATTAGATCACAGTTTATTTTTTCTGTCTTAAACTCACGTTGAACAGGGCTTCGTCGAATAGCAATAGTGGTCCGGTCGTTCCGATAATCAACAGGGGCTGACCAGAAAACAGCGAGAACAAAACGCCGGCCACCGACGTCGCAATCAGAGTTTCTGATATTCCGATCATATTTTTGGTTTTATCCGCTAAAAGAAAAAATTATAAAAAGTAAATATATATTATTATATTACATACATACTGCCATAATACTACCTTACTTAAAAATTACGTCACAGAATTATTTCCGAATTTGAATCAAATATTTCTTTAGACATAGTATAATCAATATATTATATTGACGACAAATCAAAAAAATACCAAAACCCCTTCCTTCAAAAGGGATAACATATTTTAACTACATGGTCAATTTTCCTATTGTTAACCACGGCAACGATTTATTATAGATGACCATCAACCCTGATCGTATCCCATTCAGCCTTAATATTCAAAATACAATTTTAAGTCCTTTTACGCCTTTACAATGCTTTTATCGATATTTCGACCATCTACAGATTCGCAACGAAGCGTTTATTTGAAAGTGATTTTTCAGCTTTAATAATTTCTGATAACTTGTGACCTCGCCGCCCCAATATGGAGCATCCATATTTAGCTTAAACTAGTTGAAAAAATCATGTAACTCCATTGTATAGAGTTATATTGTTTTCATACTAACCCATAAGTCCTCCAAACGTGATGGCCGCAGACAAGGCGGCAAAATATATGAAAATGGCAGCGGCTATACATTGTAAGTTGAGCCCTTGAGTGAAGTCTGACGCGTAAAAAGGCAGCCTGCGCTTAATGTCTTTGACTAGACCGCCCCATGGCTTCTTCGTACGTCTCAACGGATCGTCCTTGTCGCCGACATGTTTTTGACTAACCATCGTAACTGTCGCCACGGCTACATAATAATGACAAAAATATAGGTTAGGCTAGGTAAAGGAAAATAATAATAGAAATTAATTTAAAAATCGTTACATTTTTGCGAAGAAGCGCGAGTCTTCCGTCTTTTGATCTGTTCGCTTTTCTCCTTGAGCTCTCTTAGCGACAACAGCTCTTCGCGTTCCCAATCGCAAGGCGGCAACACAATACTGCTGTCGAGAAACTCGTTAAGCAAACTGATCAGTTCTTTGCGCTCGGTGGCTTTGTACGCTTTACAGTGGAATTCCTGAAAAATCAAAGTTAACCCGATCAAGTAAACTTGAAAAAAAAAAAAAACCAAAAATTCAATATCTAATACACATACAAGCGCAACTGTTTTCAAGTTTAGGTACTGTAGATTAATAGTTAAATCATCTTAAAGAGTCGCTCGTCCCCGAGTATAGTACAAGTTTGAGAGGAGGTTTTAACGCTTTTAAAGAGGGGGATCCATACCAGTAACGAAAGAAAAAAAAACGGGGAGGGGAAGCATAGCCCCCAAAAATGTCTTCGAGACCATTTAGAGTCTAAGTTGAGCGTTTTTCCAATACAGTTTTATTTAAATATAAAATAGTTAATAAGAGTTTATACATTGTTCGGTCACACTATAGGCAGCTCGCGTTCTCGCTTACCTACTTCATAATGCTTTACTTATTGCTACCCCCCGGTTCGAACTCGACTGTTATTTGGTATTTTTCGTTCGCCCAAAAAATCAGCAGCGGACAGTACCGGGGCAAATTATTTAGACTTTTTCGCAAAGTCCACTCACCGAGTTCGACATCAGGGTGGACATGGACCGTCCGACTTCGTGGTAGTCTATGTCGGGGTCGGGTGGCCCCAACAGTATGAACATGAACCGCACCGGGATGGTCACCTCGGTCAGCGACGGTATCATGACGCCCTCGGCTAGTCGCACAAACGCCGCCGTTCTCTTCTTCAGGTAATCCACGGACCCGACCAGCACCGTCGTGGCCTCGGCGCCGAATGGTATGCGCTTCAGGATGCTCTCCTTTTGCGCTTTCTTCACCATGTCTTCCACCGACGACGAGTACGTCTCCTCTTTCATGTCGATCGAAGTATGGTTTTTCTGCAAGTCCGTCAGCGGCCGGTTCTGCTGCTGCTGTTGATGGTGGTGGTGGTGGTGGTGGTTGTTGTTGTTGATGTTGTTGTTGTTGCTGTTGAAACTGATCTTGGGGCTGGAGTGCATTTCGTGGGTGGACATCGTGCTCTTCAATCTCGATTTACCGTCGTCGTTGAGATTCTGAAAAGGCAAAAAACGGTACAAAACTTTAAACGACACCAACCAGTTATCGTATCAGAAACGCGGTGAAAAAACTACAACGCTAAGTAAATAAAAAAAAAAAAAAAAAACGCTACCGAATTAGTACTTTTTATTATTATTTTTTTTTTTAGTAAGAATGTTAATAGGACGCTACCCATACGTAATTCTTTGCAGCGTGAAAACAAGGCGGCTAAATTTACCAGATTTTCACAGAGGAAATAAATATTTCATAAAGGAAATATATTCATATCTTATGCTTGAGCGTGGCAATTTTTTGATAGATAGGATATGTTTTTGGACTGGGGGTCTACCTGGAATTAGGGTGGTCGTGACACCGGCAGGTTAGGTTATCGAGAGAGAGGAGTAAAAAGTGAAAGCGCGAGGAGTAGAAGAGAGGGAAGGGGAGAATCAGTGATAAGAGACAGCTGATAATGGCTGCCTTAAGGGGCTAAGGGTCTATCTGGAATTAGCGTCATTGTCGAAAATTGTATTTTTTTTTTCTATAGGAATCACAGTGTCTGTCTAAAAAAAAATAACTAATTTATGAAAAATTGCCTATACTTTACTATTTAATAAATGGACGGGTAGCGTTCTCTTAAATAAATGCATCTAAGATATACCGTATGCTCTACATATTATAGATAATATAAGTAGATAAAAAAAAATACATAATAATTAAGGTAAAAAAAAAAAAAAATTCGAGCGCAGTACAACGAAGATAGACAACAAGACGTATATATGAAAGCATGACGTGAGCGTGTTATAATTATTAATTGTAACGGCCTAGGAAAAAATCAACAAGTAGGTATAATAAATTTAGTATAATCGTCCACAAGACAAAGCGATTCGGATGGAGCAAACGCTTGTCGATCAAAAGATTTTCGTCTAAACGCTTCTAGTCTATATTCTATTAAATACAATCACAAAAAAAAAATTAAAATAAATAAAAACACCTAAATGTTAATGTATTAATAAAAAAAACAAATAAAAATTCGTGATGCTAAATATTATTATTAAACCACAAGACGTGATGGAGTATATTATATAGTTTACGTTGTTCGTAAGTGATGCCGACCGCATAGCCAGAATTTCTGCCTCAAACGACTGTCATGAAAACAAACGAGAGCAACGTTTTAAAATGATAATTAAACGATAAAAATAAACATATACAATCGTGATTTGTGTGTGTAAAAATAAAAATTATAACAAAAATAATAATAATAAAAAGTTGTATTAACATTAATTTTCAGGGCTTTTAAAAATCGTACAACGTCTTTGTACAGTATAACGTTTGTCTAACGTTTGGTAATGCATTTTTTTTAAAAATTATTTTAAAAACTTTCTGAAGCCTTTTTAAATGTGTGTTTCGTGTAGGTACATCATTCACGGAGTAATCATCTGTCAAGGAGTAATATAATAATAATAATATCATTAATAATAATTACCGTGAGACTAGTGTAGCTGGACGTGTTTCGCCTGATAAACCTACTGAACTTCTCGTAGTCCTGTTGGACGTGCCTGTGTCTGAGCAACAACAGCCGCATGACGGCCGCTTTGTCTTCGGAGTTGATAAGTTCTTCGACTGTCATCTGTTCAACCACCCGGTATATGATGCCGGGCAGGTCTTTCTCCTCCAAGTCCAGCAGTATGACGCCTGTCCGAAAAAAAACTCTTTTTTAAAAATCGGCCCTTGAAAATCACTTTTGTTTTTATTTGATAAAAGTTTTAATAAGTTTAATTTAATTTTCCCATGCAGTAATTATGAGTTCTATATATTGAGTAACTATTTTCAAATTTTTTACAAATGTATAAGATTATCAGACCATGGCCACCATTCTAAGTCTTCACTCATCTCTGTCCTTCGTTCTTCGACAATGTTTTACGACACTTTCCTATTGTTCATTTTTTTTTTAAAATAATTTTTTGTTCAATCCCCTCGTCTAGTCAATATAGGACCATTTCTTCTTATTTTCCTTGGCTATTGATACTACCTTTTTTCAAACTCGCTCTTATACACTTCCATTTAATCTAGTAAATTCATCTTACACAATATATTATAATCATTCACAACTACATAATCACGTTTCACTGATTTTATTCAATGCTTTTTTTTTAGGTATTTTTTATGAAGGGTTCTTTTTTTCTATCCGAATAAAACGAGATACCATTTTAATCAGATCACCAAAGATAATGGTTATTCAATGCGTCCCCTCCCCGATCTTCCATCAACACTATCACTACTTACTAATAAATCAGTGAAGAATATTTAAATTCCTGTTTTCTCTAAACGGGTCGTATTTTGGTATTTTTGGTGTTTTTTTATTGATTGACAATTTAGGACTCGTAGTTTTAAATTAAAAACTGAAGGTTGAAGGCTATTTTACTTGTAGGAGAACTTGACGTTTTGCATAAATCACTGTTCACAAGTTTTATCTTCGCTGCGAAGGTCTTACAATGATGATTCTTATTTTTCAACAAGAAAATAAAAAATATTATAAACCCTTTTTCCAAAAGGGGTTGAAACTTTTGTTTTATTTCAATTATTTAGGGATAGTCATTGGACTGAAGGTAGACTTAACGTGTCCCTCTATTAAAACATTTTAAACGACCCGACCAATGACTTCACTTCATCTATGGAAACCTTTATTGATAAAATTTTTAAAAACAATCTATTTTATAAGTAGTGTAACAGGGGCCCTCTTATACCTATTACCCTTTTTAACATGAATATGTTGTACCTTTGGCTAGAAGTCTGTTCAAAACTTGTCCAACCCTTTTCAGTAAGATCAAAATCTGTCCCTGATGTGCTTCCTATCACCCCTCCTTATTTATTATTAAAATCAAGTGTTTTTAGAATATGTTCAGTTATGATTACTCCTAATCTTAACTGAACATATTATGAAAACACCTACTCCTGGGTGAGTACCATGAAACGTATTTATGATTCCTGTTTCTCTTTGAAGAGAAGTACAGTTCTTTCGAATTTCTCTCTCTGCCCCATTCATAAAGACGCATCTGGCTTCAATGCATTTTGTTTTATTCTAATATTTATTTTTCAACGGCTCACCCGACTCCAGCGACCTGCGGACGTTCAACAGCGAGTGGAAACTCAATGAAGCCACGTGAGGACGTCCCCACCTGTCGGTGCCTTCTTCCACGTCCTCTTCGTACTTGATCCACCGGGCTGTTTCTTTCCACTCGCGGTCTTCTTCTTTGCCTTTCAGCTCGTCCAATTGTACAAACACCTGTACACACAAACACGAAGCCCAAAATTGGGTTTTAAATTGAAATAATAACAATTTGTTATATAACATGGATTAGCGTACGGATATGTCTAAAATTCACGTTGTACGAGTTTCCCTCTCCGTTTACTTACCGCGTGCGGACTGTGGTCGATGTATTTCTTGATCACCCTGATTGGTAACCCGGCGATCAGAGTCCCATCAATGTCGCCGGCGTAAGGCACCAAAAACGAGCCCTTGTTTTTACCGCTAAACCGTCTCTTCTCCTTACCGCAATCATACCTGTGACCTGAACCGAGCGCAAAAATAATATTTAAAAAACTCAAATGTAACAACTCGACTGGGGGGTGGTGTTTGTCGTCGGCGAGGAAACATTTTTGTGGGATAAGGGATTACTGATAAGAGACTATCACTGATCTCTTATCGCCGATCCCTAAACCGCAGCCATTATCAGATATTTCTAAACACTGATCCTTTATGGGTGAAAGGGATGTGGTGGGAATGGAGAGGGGAGGGGAGTAACGGTTAAAAAATATCTGCGATTCAATGTTTCTACGTGCAGCCGAAAAAATAAAAGTTTTTTTGTTGCGATTTCCATAGAAAATTTTTATTTTACAGATAATAATACAAGAACACGATTAATACTTTAATAGTGAGCCATAACGGCACTGAACCTAATGGATAATTTCCTTCAATTACAAAGTTTCGCTGTTCAAGTTCTTGTTGCGCTCAGCGTCTCGCATTACACCGTGAGCAAGAAGTTATAATAACTGTATTATTATATTATGTGAGTTTCTATAATATTTATAATGGAGAAAACGTGTCATGTTTTGCCATGAAAACGCGTATGAATATAATTTTATACATGTACAACCATGTAACACATAAACGTTATCTAAATACAAATTCATAATACATTTGGCAGAAAAAAAAATGGGAACTAAGTGAATTTTTTAATAATGATTGATTAAGTGAATAATTTGTTACACTTATATTTATACGGATTGTTTATCTTAATTGTCTAGCAACACTATGTAATGAAGTGATTAAAATAATATAACGTATTCAAATATTTTCGCACAACACAAAAACAAATTGTATACAAAAATTGCACTTATAATTATTAGTGGCTTAAAGTGCAGCCGTTGTACTTACTTGTCAAATCGTCTTGCAAAAACTCGTCCAAATTCTCTTCCATTTGCAAATCGTCTTGAGGTATAAAAACCTCTCGCTCGTTGTGTTTATGTCGACTATGATGGCGGCGATGATGTCTGTGGACATTGTATAAATTATTAATAATTCGTATTAAACATAAACATTAAACGAATGTATTTATGGGCCCGCAAGCAACCCGTTAAGCTATGGTCGGCTTTAAAAAATTATACAATATCTTCGGTAAAAAAAAAAAATCAATACACTTGTTGCCCTCCAGCAGAAAACTACCAACGCGATGTAAACTTTTATAAAATAAAAAACATTCCAACTTGACACAAATTACAAGTGAAGTCGGGTTATTCACCTGTGCTTTCGTTTCTTTTTCTTAACACCTTCTTCATTCTGATGTGGTTCCACTAGATTCGTATCACGTTCTCGGTGTTCGATAATAGCGTCTTCCTCGTTCTTTTCATCTAAAACAAATAAAAACGCATACAATCACTTAAAAATTAATCTACCCTATATTTAATGACGTGCGATTTTCATTTGAACAAAACCAACAAATACAACTTTCACGGTATTTCCAATTGGTTTGGAAAGGCGAACTTTCTTATTTTATTCTGTCGGTACAGCGGTCGACGCTTTTTAAATATTATATATATATATATAATTATACGCCCCAATAAGGACTAGCCGTTTGTTAAACGACAATTGTGACAATAATAAATTGCATCTGCCTATGTCAGAATCATTACTTGACCGTACATTTTAAACGTTCAAAGCCAATGAGAGCGCAACTTTTGATTATAAGATATCGAACTTTTTAAATTTTTGCCCCGATAAAGTACCCTCAGGTACGATTTCTGATCTATAGACTTGCGCTACGATGGAACCGGTTCAGCGGCGGTTTACAAAAATATGGTGGATACAAAATAAAACCACATCTTTGTAAAAACAAAACCATCTCAGCTCTGCACCGAAGCTATATAAAACGATATTTTACCTTTGAAACGCACTTTTATTCTACACTCTATTTTCAAGGTCCAAAATCGAACCGATAAACCAAAAGAAATCGATGGTTGTACCGCGTGTAATGAAACGAGAACTATGTCAACAAACAATTGACCGTCTTTTAAGTGTTTAATAAATTCGAATTTGTCGGACGCGGTTTAATCGATAATAATTGCATTGCAGCCGGTCTTTGTAATTAACACAAATTGATATATTATAAATATTATATCGATTCGAGATGATTCCAACTCAATTAAATATCATATCCAAATTATATACATATGTCGCTATTATTATAACCGAATTGGTCACCAATAAAACACTACTGTACTGTAATACCGCTGCCAGGAACACGCTGCAATTATTAATGCGAATCAGTGTTTGGAAAATAAATTAGAAACGATCAACGAGCAAAATACAATATTAATATCGTCGATTGATGATCGAGCCCGAAACGCTATTATGTCAGACATGTGAAAGTGTGTACATAACGATTGTCACAATCGTTCACGAAACAAACGCATACAATACAGACTGTAAAACGTACAAACATAATATAGTTCAAATGCTAATTACATATTTTGTATATTTTCCTCAACACGTCCTCCGGCAGACACGTTATAGCTGTTTGACAATATGTTATTATGTTTATCCAAATCAGAGTTAAAGGAAAATTGTACTTTATTTATATTAACACAAAATATATTGTTAGCGAACAACGACTAAACCAAAATCGCATTATTTTAAATAAAAAACAAAAAAAAAAATATTTAAATACAAATTTATTTAGAAAATCTTTGCTCGGGTTACAGGTATAAAGAAAAAAAAAATTTCTCAGGAGAAAAATATGTAAATGATTATACAATTTCAATTAATTTTCATAATTTTAAATATCCTCTTACAAACAGAACTATAGCTCCTATTTTTCGGTAACCGAATGCTTAAGACTTCATCAAATAAGGCAATAAATTATTATGATTTGAATTTATTTTTAATTTCTTTAGCCAGTTCAAAAAGTGTTCCAAATAATATAATATTGCAATATTTTAATGATTTTTTTTTATTTTTTTCAACTAATTCGAATTTCTATATGAATGACTTAACTTTTTTCGATTATCTATAGATAGCTATTATTTTGTCAGTCGAATAATGTCTAACTCTGATTAAACTTCTTAACCCAACGGTTTTTAAAATTGATTTTATTATTGATACTCACAGACTTTCGAATCGTACTGACAATATATATTCGATACAATTTCCATTGGTCTTCATCAGTGTCTAAGCTAATGGTTTATAATGTTATTGTAGGTACACAGTATTCTTAATCTGGATTAAATCAAATCACCCGTCAACGTTTAAATTGTTGTTTTTTCGTTATTAAAAAGCTTTCTGACTACCGAGTGTCGTATTTGACTGTTGTCGATTTTTTAACACTGACTTAAACTGTGCCTTAGTCGTTTTATTTCGCCAGTTGTTTTTCAGTTTCCAGAAAACAGCAATCTATTAAGGACTTTGTGAATTCAGTGAATTCCAATTTTGCTCGTGTATACTAACCGTAACAACGTATTGTACATATATCTATAAATAACTGCTAAGGAAACTTTTATATTAGAATTGACAGCTTTTGTACAGAAGCTAAATTGTTTGGTTCCGATAAGGTACTACTTGCGGGTCACGTACCACAATGTTGTTTTGTTTTAGATTTCGATAAGGAAGTCCAGAGAACTTCATGCCGTTGACTTCGTTGGAAATGTTAATTATTGGCAGTTTTCTTTTGTTATGATAGGTAATCAGTTTCATAGAAGACCGGTGATCGATAAACCTTCGAGATAAACCTTATATTTTATCTCATGATTTTAAGCTTTCAAAGTGAGAATTCGTTTTTAATTGATCAGTAAACGATAAAAATTCTTACTACTCTTTGCATCGTTTAAATTGTAATTATAATTGTCATTTATGGAGGTCAACGCGAAATGTAGAGTTTCTTTACCTTTAGAATGTTGTACAAATAACGAGTATCTTTCTGTATTAATGGCGTAACTAACAAAATATATTTTTAATGATTATTACTAATATCACAGTTTAAACAGTTCTAATAAAATAATTCAATCGGGACTATAATATCGAGGACTTCGATCGAGGTATAGAATATTAACTTTCGAATTAATCAGCAATTTTTGTGAGGTCGACTAACGTTTAAACTTACAATAAATTAACTATTATTAAGAAACACGTTATAAACCATTTCTAGGACGATAGCAGGTATATTATGTGTTCAATGGGAATTTTTTTTGATGCAACACCCTGTATATTTGGCTTTGTCAAAGTTTTGTCACTTTCAACAAATTCATATTATTTATATTTCGTTTTTTTTAATTATTTACTTTCTACTGTGTTTTCTTAACTAAAAATTAGTACTTTTTACAGTTAGGTTTACAATAAACGTACCTACTACATAAAACTATTATTTGTTTATTTCTTGATAATTCATAGTTAATACTAATGTTGATTTTTTTTTATTTTGTTACTCATTTCATATAATATAATATATAAATTGTGTTTATATTGTATACCTGCATATAATTATGGTTTTGCAATTTTCTTTTGCTGCATTTGTTTTTTTTTTTTTTAATGCATTTCTAGTTATAATGAATTTTTGAATTATGAATTGTAGTTATGATTTTATTTCAAGAAATTCTTAAACCAATCTATAAAAAGAGAGTTTCAAAATCCAAAATCCGGATTTAAAATAAATGTCAGATTTCAGATTCCCAAAACGAATACTCACTGATTACCTACATGGTTCGTCTAAAGACACAAAAAGTGTCTTATTCAAGTCGTCGTACTTGTTGAGCACCGCTAAATCGTTGGCAATTTTAAGTCCATTCCTTTTCAACTGTTTCAAGTGTACCATGAGTTCTTCGTATTTCATTTTGCTGGTGCGGGCTCCGTTGGTTATTTTATCGACCAGGATGTTGTGAAAAATCAAACGTTCTTCAAAGTTTATTTCCATACTTTTTTCTTTTTAACCGAAATTAGTTTAAACTATTTTTTAACGGTTCCCCGGTTAAAAAAAAACGCGCACTTGACGGCACTGTTACGCCAACTAAATGCGGTTTTACATTGAGTTTCTTCCCATCATATTATATAAATATTATAAGGCGATAGGGACAAAAGATTCATTCATCACTATCGGTCGAGTCAAAGTTCACCGCTATTTTAACCGGACACGAATATTATAACTGATAATAATAATAATAATAATAACGGTAAAATTATTAGTTTACCTACAGTCAATTGATTTCCATTACATGACATCATGCGTACAATGAAATTGATTGTGTGCATTCTTAAATATACAAAAGTACAATAAGCGATAATTTTATTGGAAGAACCACGAGGGTAAAAGTGATTTTTTTTTACTGTAGAATAGATTTTTTTTTGTCAAATATCGTTTTTCACAAATAAAAAAATACGTTTTTTCGAGCAGAAAAACATGCAGACAAACAGTTAAAAATAATATATATATTTACTTAACGCGGGTAAAAGAAAATGTTCAAATCCATTACTTTTTTTAAAATATTTATACGGTTATTTGAATATAGTATATACATTTTTTATACAAACCATTTGGGTACTATTAATGTATACTACTAAAGTGTGTACTATATGGATTAAATATGTATTATTGTTTGTAATTTTGTATTATATACTTACCAATATTAAACTGTACACGTCTGTCGGTCGAATCCTGACGAAAGTAATGTCCAAACTGAGGTGGTTCGTACATTGGTGTATCGCATTCACTGCTCAAAAGAGCGTCTTCGACTCTCGAACCGTCAGATTCAATGTCCACAGAATTAGCACCGTTGCCAATCATTATACAATTCGAGGGATCACCACTGTTGCTAAACAAAAAATAACAATTTTTTTTTTTACAAAAAACCTTTATTAAAAAGTTGAATTTATTACATTTCTTATATTTATCAACTGCAATAAATAGTAATACCAAATAAAAGACCCGCAGAGTGTATCCATAGCATATGCAGTTTTGTTAAAAATATGTTGTTAAACTTCTTTTTATTTAAGAAAAACCAATAAAAAAAAAGGAGAACATTACATTTTGACCACTTTAACTTTCCAGGCTTGCTATAAGTGAGTGAATCATTAGTCAACCAGTTTTTGAAAAATATTTTCATCCTATAATCATTAACAACGTCAATGAATTATTATAGACAGACGAACAACCCTAACCGTGTTCTCCCCTTCCCCTTAAAAATCGATAATAACACCAAAAAACTGTCCATCATTAAGACATGTATATGACTTATGGCAGGGGGGGTTTATCCGAAATTTTTGGAATGGCTCCTGGTAAGGAAAGGATGAGTGATAAGATAATCATTGTAAAAATAATACCTTCTCAGCTCCGTATCGAAGCTAAATCAAATTATATCTAATTATACATTATTTCTGGAAAATAATATTTAGAATATTTTGTATAAATGTAATTATACTACTTGATTGTTGCTAAAACTAGATGATGAAAAGGTAACTAACACATTAATAATAAAATGCAACTAAGTAGGAGCTGTTAAAACTAAAACCCAAGGCTAGAACAACAACTGTGTTAAGATGATAAATGAATACGACGACAATTACATTCCTTCGTTAATGCAATCTATTCACACTATGTGTAATTAATTAGTTTTATATTTTAACCCTTAAGCAGACATCGTAAACGAAACAGTTTCACGTGAGTAGGTACACTACAAAGGAGATTTCCATAATAATATTTAAGCTAGTCATTAATTTAATAAACAGCTTAAACATTAAAAAATGTAGCACCGATGCAAAGTATATATTTGAATTTTAAGTAGCTGCAAGCAGGCAACGTATACCACAATTTACCGAATAACTATTTGATTTTTGAACTTTTGTTAACATATAGCTTATTCATTTACAATAATTGTATTCGTATGATGGTCCACTCTACCAAAAAACATAAGTTTGTAAATAGTTTAAAAAAAACTAACAATAAGTAAAGGTGAACTTCACAATTTCGTGTCAATAAAAATCTAAGAAATTACTAGAAATTAAGGTTAAGAAAAATAAAATCAATTACATAAAATACAACACAACATTCAGGCCCAAGAATGAAATTATGTTTTTTTTAATTTCACGAGTCCTGCACACATAACTTTAAGACAATTTTAGTTATAACCAATAACAATAAATTATATAATTTGACTAGAAACAAACGACAACAGGCGGGTTAAAACGCCATAATATTATGATTTGAAAGTTTTAATTTGTTTTGTTATTAAACAAGGAAAACCTTGAAACAAGCCTCTATAAATCGTTAAGGAACGCAATTTAGACTTTGAGAGGCTTAGTTATTTCAAACATGATAAAAGGAAATATTTAATTTAGTTTAGGTACCGAATTGTAAGTAAACCATGTTTTGAAAATGCTCTATTGTAAATTCGGTACACGTTAAACCGTACATTTACCGGTTCACAACGAATACAATAGACATTTATTTTTCATAATTTAATAATGGCGAATAGCCAGCAGTTTTTGTTCACATTTGGGCATTGCAAATTTGTCGAAAAGGTTTTTTTTTAAAGTAAGTAAAAATTTTAAATTAAGAACAAAACATACAAGGCTTTTGTGCGACTACCAAATGATTGGCGTGCTAATAGAAAAACTTTTTTAAGTGCGATTTAAAAAAAAAAATTTGCGTAAACCCAAAATTATTCTGACAACCAAATCATTTAGTTTCACGTAAAGGACAAAATATTAACAAAATTTCAACTGTACTTGTTTAAACAAACGCCAGTACGGTAGAGTGTCGGGGTTACAGTAATTACTATAAATGACTGTGTTAAACAATTAAATTTCCAATAAACGCTTTAGGGTTGATCGTTTGTCTATAATAACGCGTTGCCGTTGTTTGCCATTTAATAAAACTATATTTTGGATACATATGTTGACTATCAAATCACTTAAGTGCAAGTGATTCGAAATTTAGCATAGAAATTTACCACGGTCAAAAGTTGCCAAACCTATCTAGGGGAAGGGTTTATGATGTTTTCAGATTTGTCTAACGTTTATCGATAGCACTTCACCTAGACAATATTCATTACAAATTCGGATTTGCTTTGACTATTTTTTTGAAAAGTTTTAAGAAGCCGAAATTTTTAACTCTTTAGTGCCTGTTTTAGCAGAAATTCAACATATCTATTACATAATTTTATTTTGTTAGAAAAAATACATTAGATTTAAAATAAGAAATTGCTGGCCTATTAAAGTACCTTTCAGGTTAGGTTTTATAAGTATTAAAAAATATACGTTAATTTTTTTTTATTATTATTAATTACGTTTATAATATACATATATATATATATATATATATACACATTTTTTATTCTTTAAAACGCTAGTAATACTTGAGATAATGCTTTTAAATGGTTTAAGCTATAGTTTTGAAATCGAATTACCTAACATACAAATCACAAATGAGACTTTTTCCGGGTTTAAAACAGATAAATGTAAATTTTAACGTTTCTTTGCATATTTATGAACACGTTCAGATATTTTAAAATACATCAGTGCACATACAATCATCCATCAGGTCGCTCAAAGTCGAGTCGATTTGCTCTGTTAGCTGTGTTGGAAAAACAAACGCGTTGCTAATAAAATTAATAAAAATAAATATTTGAATAGATCAACAAGTGCATTCAAGTAGACCAGGACAAAAATACTACTACTGTTTTTTATATGTAAATCTGTTCTCGAGACTAATAGAAATTCGGCGTTAACAACATTTTTAACTGAAGTATAGCAGTTTATTTACATAGCAGACCGTGAAAAATCTCAAAAAAATTACTACTTTTCAACTAGTACCGAAATAATCCAAAAACTTTTATTTATTTATTTTTTTAAATAACGGACATTTAGTCTAATAAAAAAAAAAGTCCATTGTAGTCCAATGTAAAACGTGGATAACAGATATTATACAAATACAATTGAGATAGAAGCTATACAACTAACATATTTTTCTATACACAATTAGTATAAGATAAACAATTGAATGGAAACTATAATAAGAATAAGTATATAAAAAAAAAAAAAAAAATGGGTATACAATTTATCATTTAAAAAAAAATCTACATTATTCATTTTATTACTCAAATTACTCGGTTGTCACTTGTGGCGCATATAATTAATCGGTTTACTGCCTCTAAAATTACACTACGTTAATAAATTACTTTCTATTGACAGAGAAACCAGCTAGGGTTAATGCGTGTTGCTTGAGTGTACACTTGAGGAATTTACACGGTTTCAAACTTGACAAAATGATTATTTATTTTGGTCGGTACAAGGGTTGTTTTTTTTGGCTGGCCCATATACTTAATGTGTCTAAACTGCTGACTAAATCTCGTTCACAGTCGTGCGAATGGACCGCCACGCCGTTTTGTTTTTTCCGCCCAACTACAGATCGGATCGATACGCCATTTCGAATCTAGGTTATGCTGGCGCCGGATTTTGTGCTAAGTACTTGCGCTGGAAACACGCGAACAAGTAAAACGACGAATGGGACATACACGATGATGATATCGAGTTTATGGATCGGAAATCGCGCCTAATGTGTATTTAATTGGGCCAAATATTTTTTTTTTTAAAACCACCCCTTCGCCTTCAAAATCGAGAAGAACACTTTATAAAATAAATACAGACATATAAAAAATGCTCACATTTCGCAACATAAACAATAGCGCGCTAGGACATTTTTTTTAAATAGTCCAATTAGTTCCAAATTTGTATTGAATATTCTTAAGATAATAAGTACTATCGATAAAGATTGACAAACCAAAAAAATACCATAAACCCTCTCCTACCCTAAGGGATTAAAACTTTTTCTTAATATCAATATTTTAGCGGGTTAATACCAATATTTTTCAATATTTTTGAAAAAATTCTAATCATATTGAATGTAGGTAATAATGTTTTTTAAGTCAAAATGGCGAGAATACATATTAATTTATTACCTGTAGAAATTATACTATCTCTTTTTTTAAAAAAAATTATAGTATCCCATCTCAACAGGTATAAATAAACTTTTAGCTTAGACGCGGTACTGAGAAGGTATCGTTTTTAAAATAATGTATTTGGATTGTTAATGTTTCTCTATTTTTGTGTTTGGACCCCAGGATACCTCTTCAGACTCTTTATCGCTTTCAGTTCATAGCTAAATCATGTGGCTCGCCGAATCAAGCCACCGGCAAGAGGGTAATTTTGCTAGAAACAACGATAGTATGGTAAAAAGCGTTCGATAAAAAACAATCCAGTCGTGACGACGTCGTGCCTCTCATTCCTTATTTAAATGTCAAACTAGGGTAACATTTTTTGTTGAGCTCTAGGAACGGCTAATCGATCCGCGGAAAGCTTGACCTTCGACCACTCCCGTTTATTTGTCCATCTGAATTAGTCTACATATTATGTAACAAAACAATGTCAACAACTACACTTGAGTGTTTTCTACAACTACACGGCCGTGCCTGACTTTTTCTATTTCATATTATGGTAAATTATGTCTCATCGTAGGATGGTAATCAGTCGAGTAGTGCATTGTTATAGGAATACCTATGTGTTAATTTTATCCTGAGTTGGCAATAACCCAGTGAAATTGTTTTGGGTATGCACAAACCTCGTAGAACCCGTATTATTGGAGACATACCAAACATTTGCTGGAGTCAAATTAAAACAACCTGCTGAATGTTTTTTTTTGGTATTTACCCGAAAATATGAGTTTTACAGGGTAAAAAATATCGAATTGTTGCGTACTGTTATCTGAAATGAACAGACCAATTTTGGACGGTTGTTTACTATCGAACACTTGTGGTACATTCGCATAATTATACATTACAAGGCCGGCATCAAGTATATCTAGTGGAACTACACTAGAAAATATAAAAACAGTCCATAACGGTCTTAATTACGACGGAAACATTAAACAGCTGTGACATGCGATAATTAGTCACTATAGCGACGACCCAGTAGATATGTTTTGTAATATATAAATATATTAGTGTTATAAGCGGTATTCGGTATCGCATGTGACAATAAAGTGTACAATGAAAATGTTTATATTTGGCCGCTATCGAATGTTGTTGTTGTTTGTTATGATAATTAATTAAACGGCATAATAAATAAAGGACATCGCAAGGAGTGTCCTATATAGTTTTCACAAAAACTATACAGGATGAGAATTGCTTATTGTTATTTGTTTAGTCTTCTGGCAAAAATTATGACCAATGTTATGGGAGAATGTTTTTATTTACAGAAAATCTTTTCCGCTCTTAAGAATATCACTATTTTCGGGGTTGGTTCAAAAAAATCCAGGCCGATGGCATCAGTAATAAATTTAAATAACTGTTTTTTAAAGTTAAAAAATATAGTAACAATGATTTGAAATCGACTATAGCATTTTAATTTCAATGATTTATTGGAATCTATTGTTAATTATTTGGTATACACTATTGTTTAACATGTACAACGCATAAAATATAAAAAAATCAATAAATATAAAACATCATTCCGTTTCATGTACTTTGTCATGTTACTGTCATGTCAAGTACTTTTATTTTTTTTTAAAGCCCAGTTTTTTTCTCCTATCTCTAATCTCTTATATCTAAGTGTCATTTTAGCTGTGGTTTTGTGACACAAAATTGGCAATGGAAATTTCTTGTAGCCAGCCCGATAAAAGTGTCCATGTTAAAAATAGTTCAATTTTCGTTACATTTATTCACGCGCATTATTTATTTCGACCGATTTTCATTGGAAATTTATTTACAAAATATAGTATACCTACATATATTTAGTTAAAACTAATGTTCAGCGTTTGAATCAAAAAATACTCTTTGCTCCAAAAATTGTTTACTTTATGGCATCCCTTAGGGTGTCATTCTTATTGGTGTGTTTTCTCTTACCAATCAAAAATATTATTAAATCTTACAAAGTGCAACACGTTTTTTGTCGCACGCCAAATTGGCGGAAATAAAATGCCCAGAACAAATTGACCGGAAACGGATGTCATGTAAAAAAAAAAATAAAAATTATCGAAAAAAAATTTGGTTCGTACCGTCTGCTTAGCACATTCCTGTGATCGCATAACACCTCTTCTCCAAGTCCCTCTACTCTGATCTCTCTTGCTTGTTTCCCTATGGCCCGGTAATCATCTCGGTCTATGTGGTGTACCTGTAATTGGCACAACTCCGAAACTTCTTTTTTAAAAATTCGTTCCTAATTTATTCAAACATACATCATTAGTCTCCAAAGTTGTCAAATCGAAACCCAAAATCGAAAAAAACCGAGTGAGCATTGTACTTTTTGGTTTAAACCCAGCGAATTCATGTAGGTATTATACATTTTTGTTTACCCCGATATTTTTCTAAAACCCATATTTTTTTTTTTGTAAACATAAAAAAAAACCAGTTAGGTCAACCCTTATTTTATTCATTCTCGGACTTTGACAGAGTCGATACAAATAACTCAAACGCAAAAAAAAACCCATCTAGTTTTTCTTTGGTTTAACATATTAATATTTTTTTTTTTTTTTTTTAATACTCTGAAGAGATGCAAAAAACGTTCGCACGGTTGGTTATTACACGTCCAACACTGGAAAAACTGTATAACGTTGTACACAGTTCTTCAATCGATTTTCCTTTTGAACAGAAGTCCAACTAACGTCATCAGCAAACGAGCACAATTACATTAACGGTCCGAAGTACGGGTTTATTAGATTTTATCAAAATCATTAATAGGAAAAAATACACGAGAAACCCTCGCCAATATTGTAACGATGTAGTTCTGTATACTTTTTTTTTCACTTGTCAAACAATTTGTAATGAAAATATGACAATATTGGCAGTATGCTTAGTCGAAAATTAAATCCCACACATGTTACGTTACTTCGTAAAGAACTTTACACTCGAAACGATAGAACACGTATTGTTCTAAATGTATTATTTGATTTGTAATGGCGTGTGGGCTATATTATTATTTATTTTTTTTCAATGCAATTTTCTTTTGCATCATTGTAGGCGGTTAACATAGCGTTTCGGTCAAAGCTATGCAAATTTTTGCAAGTAAATTATTAAATCGCTTAAGCAACGGAAAAGAGTTCTGTACGCCGTCAGTCAGTTCCTTGACTTTATACTTAAAACATCAACGTTAAAATTTATATGATTAACATTACACCTAGCAATGGGCACAAAAGTAATTCTAGTTAGGAACCGTAAGTTAAACAAAAGAGCATTTTCGAACCTACTAGAGAGGTGGTTTTTTTGTAAATATATCAGAATTGGCCAAAATTCCCAAAAACAAAATAAAAAACCAGCGGGTAATCTTAAAAAAAATGTTTGGTACTTATGAAAAACTCATATTTTTTGGGTAAATACCAAACGTTTGCTGAACTTTCCAAAAACTCTAGGTGAGGTTATTTTTTGATTATTTAGTCAACTCAGGTCTGTTTACATTTCAATTTTGTCGTGTAATCAGACTTAAGAAAAAGAAAACCTAAACCAAAAAAAAAACCCCCGGAAAATGTTTAGTATTTATCGGCAAATAAATGATTTATTGGGTTTATGTATACCAGAAAAAAATTAATTGGGTGGGGCTTTTCCACAAAAAAAAATCTAAACTATTATCAACTCCGAAATTAACCAAAATAAGAGTAAGAACATAAGCGTCTTAAACGATGGTGAACCATATCATGTAAATTATCTCAATGATGTTGTCACACGCTGCAGTAGACCGATCATAAATAATTTTGTTTTCTAGTGTACAAATACCTAATTGTCAAGGTACTCTCCAGTATTAATATTAATTGTTGTCTTTTTGAGTCACCAGTGATAAGACGAAGGTTAAAATATTGTGTACATTTTACCTGGACGTTTGTTGGCTCGTGGTTGGTGGACTCAAAGCGCTATCAGAATCGGTTACATCCCTTTGGTACTCGGATTTTTTCAAGTCCTAGACAAAGTAGTTATTGTAGACAACCAGTACTCAAGTGGAAAAACGGCAAGTATAAATAACTCACCGCATCCGGTTCTTTGGACGGCAGTGACGACGTGGACTTCTTCCTCTTGGACTTGGAAATGGACTTGAGCGGTATGTGAACGTGAGGCCGACTGTTATTGCGATGAACTGCAAACAAACGGTAAAAAGATGGTAACAATAAAAGTATGTTATCAAATCGTTTCGAAGGATCGAGGCTAAGGCTCGATTATAAGCACACCTCAGCCCACCGTAATGATCCTTGGTCAATAAACCAGGACGGTCGTCGTTATTTGTTATGATTATGATTTCATTGCAAATTCATATGTGACTATCTCTTATACCGGCGGCGTTGGAGACCGAATTTAAAAAGTTCCGACCTTGTAATAGATAATTTTTTTTTTCAACGATATTATATTCTTTGATCGTACTTAAATAGATTTTTTTTTTATCATAACAAACGAACTCGCTCCGTCTGTAATTAGTTATTAATGGTTTATAATGTTATTCAATCACCTTGTCACGATGACAAAAAAAGTAAGTAATAGCGATAAAATAATATTACTGTGAGCAATGGGGTCCAGATGATATTTGTCTAAACAATCTGCGCCCGCTCATTCGGTAGCCGTTTAAAAGTTTCCCTTAAGATTTAAACATTTTTTTATTACAATGATAAATCGCCCTCTTAATCTCACCGGTAAAGTCGTCTTCGCTAAGTCTCCGGTCTTCGGGTTTGGGCGATCGTCCGGCGGCAAATCTCGCCAAGTCGAACCGACCGGTAGGACCTCCGCTGGAAACACCGGCAAACACCCGTTCCATCTCCTCGTCCAAATTGCGTTCGTCCAAATGTTTGGACTCATCCCTGAGAGACTTGAGGTGTTCGTTCTATGGAAACAATCAAACATAAAAATATGTTATAATGCCAGTAAACACTAAACTATAATGCTTAGCACTAGTAATTTCACGGTCGGGGGGCATAGTGGGGATGGGGCATATTATTGAAACTTATGTAGAAATTAGAAATTATCCACATAATGAAACTAATTTCCAAATACCTGTCGACTGTTAATTCATTCACAAAGCAACCAAAAAATCATTATAAGGTAAAAATGTAATTTTCCATTCTTTCTCTAATGAATATTCCATACAGATTTGGAAATAATTCGATTATTTTTAAGGGGTTTTTGATCCCCCCATTGATCTCCGTCCTTGGTTTGTGATACTAAAAATCTTTTAACTCAAAATTAGTACTTTTCAAAATACCTACATTAATTTTTTAGCGAGAATTTGTTGAAATAAAAATAAATGTAGTACTAATTTTAAGTTCTAAAGTTTTTTTCTTCAAATTTCAATTATTTAATAAAATACTACACTGGAAAAATATATTTTCCGACATTATTGTCTTTGTAGTAACAACAGCTGTCCTATGATGAAAAATTATTTCACAAGTGTAATACGTTACTGCAAACCGGTACACGGCGGCGGCCCTGTTCGGCTTGCTGTCCCAGCTTTTAATACATAATAATAATAATGTACAGTGTACTACTTAACTCGGAATAGAGACGTGTAATTGTTTTGAGTGTTTATAAACATTTAAAAAAAAACTCGTTTGCAGCGACCAAAATGTCGTAAGCACGTCATCCGAACGGACCAGGAAACGAGTAACCGGTTTAAAAAATGTTTTCCGAGGATCCCAAAGACAATCATAATATATTATATTTTATTTCTTGGGCGAATTTTGACCCGATAATTATTAATATTATTACGGTTATCGCATACAGGTTAAAAGCTTTACAGGATTGCGTTATTACTATCAATGTATAAAAAAAGTTATTTTAAACTTACCAGTGGTCTTATATTTTACTCAGGAGTAACAAAATTTAGTTGAATTTTCATTTTAAGTGTTATATAATAGTATCGACGAATACTTTCAACGTTATATAATAGCCATTCCATTTTCAATGGCTTCACCTTTGGTTCTATAATATTCTTTTTTGTCACACTAAATGTGGAATATTATTCGTTAGACAATAGACAATGAATATTTTTTTATCCTATGTACTAAAAATCGTTTTAATCGTGTCGGGGTCATGCCGTGTCAGTAAAAATCATTTAAATCCTTTGTACGATTTTTTTAAAAAATAATTATTACATTAAAATACTGCTTTACAACAACGTACAAGGTAAAATGCACTATTATCACTGTTATTCGAATAATAAACAACTAATTCGTGTAGAATTTTTATTTTAAAAGTTTTTTTTTAGGGGCGGGGTTGTCTAACTTATAGACCAACCCCTATCCTGTTTTCCCAATTTCTAACGAATATTTAATACTTTTAATTTATCTTAATTTAATTTGTATGTCATAAATTTACATAAACCGAAATGAAACTAAAGCAAATTGTATTTATCGTAAACATAATTTATAAACATAGCTATCGAAATTTAAAAATAAAATAATAATAAAGACGCTTTAAACGGTACAAGGTGGTTCAAGGTCATGCTTAATCAATTGCAGATGTCGATGTGTACACCAATTAACTATTATGTTGTCCTTAAAAAAAAAACAATAAACCTAATGTACGATTAAACGAAAATAACTGAAACATCATTATAAAAGATGTACGAATTTATTTGTTGGAACGCTATTAATTGTTAATACAATAAGTATAGTTATTGTTTTGTGATTAAAACAATCATACACTAATGTCTGGGCCAAACGAATTTGCGGTTAGGTTGGTGACTCCGCCTCTAGCCAATTGCCGGCAATCGCACGTGGAATTTTTCGGAATTTCCCAAAAATCTCAGTTCTGATTGCTAGACGAGGTATAATGGGCGGAGTTACCAACCGCACATTCATTTGGTCCTGACATTAGTAGAAGACGTTATAATATTATTTGAAGGATACAGAGGAATAATCAGGCAAGTCACTTTTTAAAAAGTAGCCATTTTGTGTTATAAAGTTTGTTTTAAATAAAAACAAAAATTGACCATTTTTTAGTATTATTTAAACATGTTTTTTTAGATAAAAAAAAAATTAAATTCCTGGTTTTTTCACTGTCCCCTTCATTTATGGTGTGCTGTATGGTATCGCATCATACACAATATATGGCCATAGAACGAATCATTAAAAAACTAGTATATTAAAAAAAATAACAATATAAGTATATTCGTTCGATAGCCGTTGGTTTAAAACGGCATTCCTTAAATTTTATATGAAAAATTAAAAAAAAACCCATTTGCTTCGCCATACGGAATGGTGTGTAGGGTTTTATAACTTTTACCTGCTGTAATACAAGCCATCTAGATGAATGACTAGTACTTTGGCAGGTAAAGTTATGAAGTTTGTCCAACAACGGTTAAAGCGGGTATTTTCACGAAGGAAGCGCACGTCTATAGATAAAAAAATATGTACCGGCGTTAAAAAAAAAGAATAGAATATATTTTTCTCCGACCTCGCACAAACCGAACACTTGTCATGTTTAAATCAGCAAAATAAAAAGGGTACTCGATAATTTTAATATAATATTAATATGTGATATTGATTCGGTCGCCAAGGTGACTAATTTTACTATCTCACATTACAATATCCCTCATATGGAATATTTTGTCGACGACAAATTTGACAGCTATTGTTGTTATTGTAAACGTTTAGATACGAGTCAATCGCTGATAACGCAGTGCCCACCTGAGGAATGACATAAGCAGCTGGTGTTGAAGCGCATAATAACATGTACATACTATTATTATCATGATTTCGCTTTGATCTCGGTTGGATAAAAAATTTCTAAATTGTCATTAGACAAAACAAAAATTGTATAACCGAGTCATACATAGTGTATACACATCCAATGACCCGCGTAGGAACGCTATATTGATAAAATAATAATTATAACGTTAGATAACATTATTATTTTTTCAATCGCTAATCGTAAAATTAATTTCATACGTTGATACGACGCGAACATGCAATATAGTTGTATTTTCATTTTATAATTTTCCAATATGTCGTCGTCGCCGTCAAATAAACATAAGAGATCACCATTTAAGAGGGCGTCGCACCGGTGATTTTCAGTGGTAAAAACATGTTTAAGCAGACTGAAAATAACTCGCTTAATTTTGGTTTTAGAGTAAAAGCTCCCATTATAAAATTAAAAGAGAACAATTTTCTGGAGGGCAAGTCGGTGCGTTTTTAAAAAAAAAATCATTTTTCGAAAAGTTACAGTAATTTAAAAATGTTAAAATAGTTGTTATTTCTAAACTATGTATTCAGCGTTATACTTAGAATAATGAAAAAAACGCACCGTCTTGCCCTCCGGAATATTGTTCTCTTTTAATTTTATAATGGGTGCTTGTACTCTAAATCCAAAATTAAGCGAGTTATTTTCAGTCTGCTTAAACAAGTAGAGATGAAAAAACATTTTTAAATCGCTTTCAAGGATGCTGTGATAGTCTAAAAAATAAATTAACTACCAAAATAGAGTCTTAGTTATTGAACTAATAACTGCACATCACAGTTTAACTTTTAAATTAAGATTTTGTAAAATATTGCCTATACTTTATTCCTTAAAAATGGACGAGTGACACGTGTAATGATTTTATATTACAAAATAAACGCGTTTAAATGTACACCGAATAGATGTGTCTAGGTTTTGTGGAATAAAATACCGCAAGAATGCACGTCTTGTTGTTTCGAAAAATATTTGCTAAAATAATAATAAGAGAAGCGAAAACGGTTTTTTTGTAAGCGATTCTTGTGGCTGACGTCATTCCGGTGGTCTCGTTTGGAAAACGCAATGAATAAAAATAAAATTGCACTACAAGAAGAAATATGAAACGCGTTATTGTCACAATATAAATTCAAGCGGACGACCACGGATGACCTTGAATAAAAATGTATTTCTTTGTGAGAAAATTTGCGTTTTTTTAAAGCATCGCTCTCGTTGTACCTACTTCTAGTGTAATTTTCGGACCTTAAGTTCTAAAACTCCGGTCAAAAAAAAGTAATAAAGAAAAAGTTCCCCGCCCCCTTTAGGTGATATTCCACAAGTAATGTTCTTCAAGACTACTTTCCCGTCTTTGCCTAAAATTAAATATTTAGAATAATATAGTCATCACGAATAATAATAGAATTAGAAATTTGTTTTATTCAATACCATTGAAAACCCGATGGCAGAGTTATTTTTATTTGCTATGAACATTTATTTAAATTGAAAAAATAATTAAAATCTGCAGCGATCGATGAAGATGTCGAACTAATGTTTAAGGATCATGTCTATACAATTTTAATGGAATATTTTTGAAAACTGTCGAGTCCATAGTACAATTAATAAGACCAATTGTTTTAAGCGATGGAAATATGGGTGATGGTGATTCGAAAGTAGAAGTTATGAAAATAAATTTAACATAGACATCACTCAAAAACCCAAGAGGAAGAAAGTGATTTAGAAACCATTTCTGTTGTGGTTCATCGTGCTAGATAATTATTTTTTACTTTTTTCTGGTTGAATAATTTGTATAAATTTATATAAAACAAGAACATTTTAATTAATTTATATAATATTTAGGAATTTTAAGTAAATATATAGTTAGAATTTTTTGCTGTTTTGAAACGTTTTGTGTAGTCAGATAGGTAAATAATTGTTATCATTCTTAACTCCTATTTATCGTTTTTTTTTTTTTTTTTTAGTTTGTCAACGTTTATCGATAGTATATGCCTAAAGAGTAGGTATTCCATACAAATTTAAAACTAATTCGACTATTTTCAAAAAACTCCCAGCGCGCTATAGTTTAGAAGTTGAAAATAATATGAATGACATTTTTGGGTGTATTTCTGGGGAAGGGGTGAACTTTTTTTTTAAATTTTGGCATAATTAAGTACCGAA